CGTAGTTATTATTTTACATAGTACTCTACATTTTTGATGATTTATTGGATATTTACTGTTATTTATCTTGGAATTAAGTTCTTTTTGATTTTTTGAGGTCTACTTCAAACGAGATTTAATAGTGAATTGATATTTCTAGCCTCAATGTGTGGACAAATTAATCGTTAGTGATTGGTCTAATTGGTGATATTGTACCTACTATMATCACAATAATAACCATAAATAAATAATAATGAATCTCGTGAGGTTAAAAGATAATAATTTTTCTGAATTATAATTAAATACAATTAAAAAGTTTTTAAGTACAGCACTCATATTAGCTTTATAGAAGAAACCACAGCGAAATATATTAATTACCTACAGGTACAACTACCTAAATATCTAATTATTTATGTTTATGTTTAAAACGATGTAATAATATTATTAATTTAAGGTATTAAATAATCTAAAAATTAAATTAATTGTATTGAAATAAAAGTGCTATGCAAAGCATTTAGTAMAAAATTATAGTGAAAATGACATAAAACAAGCAGTTAAATACTATTTCTGCATTATTAAAAAAAAACATTTGACATAAATCAAAAATTTAAGTATAAATATAAAATAAAATATAATAGRTAATAGATTATATAAATTATATTACATTATTATATTATATATAAAATATATTATATTACATTATATTATATTATTTTATATAGATTATATTATAAAATATAATCTAAATTATTTAATTATGTTGTCAATGTTTGAATATATTATTACTTGACCAATTTGGGTCATTTAAATATTTTGTGAACAGTAAAAAACAAATAAAAACGAAAGTACTTTAAAAGACCCACAATTTAAATGGTAATAATTATACTTCAATATTTCTCGTTGAAAATTTACAGAAATTATGTCACGTGTATTAAAGACCAAATGTGGAAACAATAACAAGATAATTTTATAAACAAGAATTTATTTCACAGCATCTTAACCGTTCGATGGAATAAAATTAAATATTTGCTATTGCCGTATTTAATCGTTTCAAACATATTATTATTATTTAATAATAATTAAGTTTTGTAATACATAAATAATAGTTTAAGTAATCACTACATCCTGGTATCACGTATTTGATACAATGTAAAATTTGTGATATTTTATATTTTACAGGTGGTCGCTGTAATATCGGTGTTTTTTATATGTGTGTCCGTACTTTCGTTTGCGCTAAAAACTCACCCTGACTTACGAGTAGCCACACTAAGGAACGTTACCGTGCCCAAGGATCGGCCGCCAGCCCCAGGCGAAGACCCACCGATGGAATGGGTTCTCAGCAAGGACCGGACCGATCCTCACGAGGCTTTTTTCTACGTGGAACTCGTTTGTAACGTTTGGTTCACATTTGAATTGCTAGCTAGATCCATCGTAAGTACTATTAAAAATGCACATGAATTGAATTATTCGGTTATGTCGTTTATCATAAAGTTAAAAACTAAAACTAAATCGTTTTAAAAATATTTCATAAGTAAGACGTATAAATATTGTATTTTAAAACATGTATGGTAAATATTTGTATGGTATTTGTCTTATATCAAATATAACATATTATTATAGATTAAAACTGAACAATTACTTTATCAAAATTGCATTATATATAATATATATACAACTATATTAACAGAATGATCGATTGAATCACATAATACGATTATGTCATCTACGAAGCCAATATATTGGGGTTCATACACATAACACATTACACGTCATAGAATTAATTAAAATCCTTAAATCGTTGAAATGGCACGCGATAATAGTGTTTAAATAAGATTGCGGTGGACTTAACTTGATTTTAAATTTTCTGTAACCTTGAACTTTTAAATTGCTATAGAGCCATTTATTCGGGYTTAYGTTAAATTTCCACACGTCAATAACCAATAACAATATGATTTYGTTCATCACTTTTATCGTAAAATATGATACCTGCAGATAAAAATATAAACAATCATATATATTATAATATTTTAACTCAAGGAAATGTAGCATGAAATGAATTCAACCCACGAATGGTCATAATAATTTACTGTTAACACAACGAATATTATTATATAATATTATGTTTTTCCTTGACAAATCGTCAAAAAATTTATTGTCATGTACATTACATATTGTTTCACTTCAAGATATATACATTTAGAAACAACTAGAATCGAATTGGTCCTAATTATCTATTGCTTAACTTCCATTATAATATAAAAACATGCAATAACTGAAATAATTATGAATATTATGATCATTATATAATGGATTAACTTAATACCATCAATATAATATAGTARGTAGTTACCTACAATAAGCATAATATGCAGTATAGTGTACTTATTTACCAAATTATAATCCACTTTTAGAATAAAATATCAGCTGTAGATTTCGAATCATAAATATTTTAGTATTGATTATGGGTATGTTTAAAGTTGTGTCTAAAATAATAATGTGTTAAATTGAMATTTAAAAACTAGTTCTATTAGTTGTGTTTGTTTCATCAATAGTTTAAAAGACAATTATGTAAGCAGTTTTGAAAAGTCACAACAGTAGCTCCAGCTGAAGTACACAATTACAATTAAGCAACACTAAAATATGTGATTTTAATTATTTTATAAAAATATTCGTAATATTTTGCCAATATCATTGTGAAACAGATAAAAAATCTACTTTGGCAATAATAAATGAACAATATTGTTGGAAATAGTTTRCAATTGTTGGTATTCGAATCATAAATAAAAGGCTAAAAATCATAAGGTAAACTGTTATATTTTATAGTATAATACTAGTCAATATAATATTATTTCATACCTACAATTAACATTATACAATTGTATTATAAATTTGTTTATTTGGGTATGTAATTTATTTATAAAACTATATATTGTGTATCTTTTGTTGACGTTGGAATAAATATAATTTTTATTTAATAATTTGTTCTAATTTATATAAACTAAAAATACTTATGATACAAATCTTGTTAAATTAATGGTTTGATTATTATTTATCAAAACACTTATTATGGATTAATATAATATTCTCTTGTTAATATATTATGATTAATTACGGAAACTGAAATATAACCTATATTACCTACTATAATATAACATAATATTATGCAGTACCTATGCTTAAAATGTTCAAAGGATAATGAAATATAAAATAAATAATATTTATTTAATATAAAGTGATACTGTGAAATATTAATTATTTTTTAAATCAAATAATACATTTAAGGTTAGAAATCTTAAAAACGATGTTTCAACGTGGAAATAATTCAATGTTGTTGATATACGCTGTGTCACACCTACCAATTATATTATATACATTTTTGAACTCGTATATAGACACCATAGACCACAATAATCAGATATGATAATATCCTTGACTCCGCAAAAGTTCATTCTGTACCTACATATATTCCACATGGGTGATTAACGTTCCCAAAACGCCATTTAAAAGACTATTCGGTAAAAACATATGTTGTAATTTCGAACGACGTAAATGTGGGGAACAGGATTTTCACAAACTCATAAAGTTTAAATCCAGTAACAGCTTCGGAGACGAAGAATCGTGCTTTTGGCTAAAATTAAACGTGGTTGTTGAAGTTTGATCACAATAAATAATACACGGAAACCGTCAAAGACCATCCGCWACCAATTAGTTATCTTGCATAATAGTGGTCAAACCTATCTAGTAGCYTGGACATTCGTATATTTAATATTATTTCTCAGCTACTGCCACCACGGTTGATAACTATTATTATGAAGCTCTGTGGAYGCGGTTTTAAATCCATTCATTGTTATAGCTTATTAAACGCATCTTATTTCTTATGGACCGTTTTACGATTTAGATTATATTTTTAGAGGCCCGGAGGGCTTATAATTTTGTTATAAAACAGCATCCATGGAAAACTTCAATAAAATACAAAAATAATCCTTAAGTACAAGTGATATAGCTGTTGATAAAAGTGCGCCCTCATGTTTCATTTAATATAATATCTTACTATATAAATAGAATAATATAAACAGAATAAACGGGTTTCACGTAATTCATGGTTGTGGTTACAATACGCAAAATAGGATTAGATTAATACAATCACAAACACGCTAAAGGCTAACCATGTCCTTTCGTAATTTATAAAATATAATTCCATACATTTTGTTCAAACGTAAACTGTATCATTATAACTGTTATGCTGTGGCGGCGTGAACTRTTTTATTTCATGAGGCAAGTATATATGCTCGACCACCACTACCTAAATATTATCACACAGATGCTTCATAACTTATATTTTATAATATATTAATAAAATAATAACGATACAACTTTATAGTGTTTCCGGTTTCGTGCAGTTACCACGATACCACGTTATTGTACACACTACACATAGTGTATTTCCAGTAACCGTGAGGTACAAATTATCCTAATTATTATATAATTAGTATAAATAGTATTAGTTGACCACTTGACCATATGTGTATTTTAATATCCATTCAAGGAGGYACCACCACCTAATCGGTCGTGAGGCAATTGCCTCATGAAACACCCTATCACGCCGCCACTGCTGCTATGTCTATAATAAAATAGTTGTAAGCATTAACATTTAACATATCATAAATAAAGCTTAAAGTTAAAAAAATATTTTGGTTATATATTTGAATATTTGTGAATTTTTTTTTAAATTTTAACAATGAATTTTATTTTTATGACCATTTATTTATTTATTTTAGTTCACACCTTCTTCGACTTTTGAAATTAAACGGTCAATATAAAATAAAGAAAGAGTCATGCAATACTTAAATATTTTTAATACTGATCTATTTTCGGCGTATTATAATAAATATATATTATACATATACCATATTTTGTTTGATGTTATTTTACGTTTTTATTTTTTATTACTAATATTTATATTTATTTATTTGTTTGATTACGTTCAAACGACCATGGCCAAATGTATACGTCCATCTTTCATAGATTGTAATAATATTATGTACTCTATGATTACATCAATGTTTTTAGAATTCATACACTTGGCTCTAAAATATAAAGAAAAAAAACATGTCTATAATTGTTGAAATAATTTACTAAGCTAATTAACATTCACTATCCCGTAGGTAACCCCTAACCTCATGCACTTCGCCAAGTCTCCGGTAAACATCATCGACTTTGTGGCTACGCTCAGCTTCTACACAGACACCATGCTGCAGAGCACTCTAGCCCACCGTTTCGACAACACCGAGATTCTAGAGTTTTTTTCGATCATTCGCATCCTGAGGCTATTCAAGCTAACCAGACACTCACCGGGRCTGAAAATACTCATACATACATTCAAGGCATCCGCCAAGGAGCTGACTCTGCTCGTGTTTTTTTTGGTTTTGGGCATCGTCGTTTTCGCTAGCCTGGTATACTACGCCGAACGATTGCAGGTAAACGTCAACTGAATCCTATTCTTAGTTAATAATATTGTTACGATAGCACTATTAGTTATGTTCATACAATATTAACTTTCTCTTATYCTTTTCGGCAGGCCAATCCACAGAACGACTTCAAGAGCATACCGGAAGGATTGTGGTGGGCAATCGTTACCATGACCACGGTCGGATACGGTGATATGGCACCCAAGACGTACATGGGCATGTTTGTCGGTGCGCTGTGTGCATTGGCAGGCGTACTGACCATCGCGCTGCCGGTTCCTGTAATTGTGTCAAATTTCTCTATGTTTTACTCACACACACAGGTATATTAACTGTTATATGAAAATACGATAAATATAATGAAAATTTTGATTTAATGACTATAAACCTACTATGTGATAGCCTATGCTAAGTCATGGAACGATGCTTTAAAAATATTGAGGTACAGAACTGCATTTTGAACGAAGCCGTTTTATTTTTTATATTGCTTGTTTCATTTTTTGAGATACCRAWATCGTAATTTTCATATAAATATATCATTTAAAAACAAATATTATGATATTATATGATGGTTGAAATAAAAACCATAGTTTATAATGACTACTTTTCCAAATATCTAATAATGTTAGCGATAATTTTCAAAATAATTACATTATATTTTGCTTTTCATCATTTATTTGCTTACATTATATTTTATAGTTAATAAAAATAAATATTTTTACTTAAAAATACTCATTAAAAAAAGCATCAAAATATATAATTTTAAGAAATTAAACTAAAATCACAAMCTTAATATTAAGTTTTGATATCTGAAGCAAGAACTATAAATATTCCAAACTTTTGGATATAATATTATAGTAACTTATAACTCAAAATATATATTTTGAGCATTTCAAATATTTGTTATTAAATACAATTTGCGTTTCATAAGTGTGTGTGTATAAATTATGTAATATATTATGAACCAATTCACCAGCAGATAAARTGATTTTTATTTTTAAAATATAAAACCTTCATATTGTACTTTTAAGAAGAATGTAAACCAATTTATCGGAGTCTAGTAATCTTTGTCATATACATACTATTTAAAAAAAAAGGTTTCTTTCTATTGTCACAGTAATGATGGTATTTTTTTAAACTTGTATGCTTTTTAAAATCATTAAAAGTACTCAAAACCGTTCTTAAATAATTGAAAGTGCCGAAAGAWATTCATGAATGACGTATTAGAAATAATAATAATAATAAAAAAAAAAATACAAAATAACGCATTCTGTAATGTTGGTTGTACTACAAATAGATTTTTATAGACTATAGTTTGGTAAATATTATGATTTATGATTTATATGATTATATTATATGCTTGTAAAAAATGAACAAGTATTTAATGAATTAAATTATGTAGGTACTATTAAAACATGATATTTAAAAATGGTCTGAAAAGAAAATGGTGTCGAGATTTACTAAATTAATAATTAATAATTATATAAAATTAAAAAATTAAATAAAAAATTATTAATAAACAAATAGGTAGTGCTTTCACTGGATGGCTTCTTTCCTCACGTCTTCATATTAAAAAAAAATATTATATCTCATATTCTTATTGTAATCAAGGGTACAGATTGTATATTTCTTGTGAAAAAAAAAATGGTCTGATTTAATATAACTTAAAACATTTTAAAAACTTATAAATAATAATTATCTAGAATTTAAAAAARAAAGAAAGAATTATAGCAAAAACACTACCTACTATTAACTTAAGTATAATTTGTGATTTGTGTTGTAACTGACATGTGTAAAATTAAAACTTTAAATGTATTTTATTTTGTTTTTATTTGGTRTCCATATTCTTAGGCCCGTTCAAAGCTACCAAAAAAAAGGAGAAGAGTTCTYCCTGTGGAGCAGCCTCGACCAAAACGTTGTGACGCAGTCTGTGCGGGTGTCATGGGTGCTGCTGGGCTAATAGGAAATCGTAGAATGGTCRCCACTCCTACCACAGGTGCTAAAGATACTTTCGTACCTCCTAAATTAGGTATGTTTTCATATTTTTACTAATTTCTCGCATAAATTACGATGTTCTATCAAATTATGTTTATTAAAAATTAACGTTCAGATCGCTCTTCATTTACAAATTAGGTATCTGCCTAGTTAATTTTTTTGTTGGTTTAATATGATATATTACTCTAAAAACCTAAAAATAATATGAAAAGATAATATATCGTATTAAAAAATGGAATCTATTTAAAACAAAATAGAACATACTAATAATAGTTACTATAATTGTTAGGTAATAAAAATAATTTATCTTCAAAATAAGATTTTAATAAAATATAATATTATTAATATTCAAATCTTATTGTTGCAATGTTAAAATGTTATTAAAATTATTTAAAATAATTATGAATAAGATGCTAAAATAAAGAATAAAGGATTRCGAATAGTATAAAAGAGCCTTGATAAATCTTAAACTGATGAATATTGCAAGATTCAATAACATTTCTTAATTCAAAAAAGGATTTTTAAATATATAATAATTAGTGATTGGTGTATAGAAATTTAATTTTTAATTTTTATGATTGTGCAATTATTAGAAAGTTTATGAATATTTTGTCACTATAAGTCAGCTTCACATTTCATAAGAAATTACAACATATTAGAATATWAAAAACAATTTTTAATTTGTATGCACGTAGACAATGAATAATTAAAATTCACAAAAAAAAAAAAAATAGTATGATACATTTTGTTTGTTTAAGTTTCAAATTTAGTAATATTTTAGGCAGCAGGACATTGATGCTTCAAAAAATTAAACAGTTTATTTGTGAATTTAAACAAAATGTTGAGTTTCAATTACGGATATAATGATGAATGAAATAATAACAAGGTGAAATGACATTTAATTGAAATAGTATAATATAATTATAGGAGATTCACGTAATAATTTTGATAAAGATCTGAATCAAAAACGGTATTAATATATAATACCCTACAGATTAAAATGCCATATTATTGGTGTTCAACAATTTAATTGTACGAAGTCGATTCTAGTATAACAGCGGGTATATTTTTATGAMAAGTTGATTAGTATTTGCATAAAGATAATACATTTATATAAATGCACTCTGAGGTGATAGCGGAAGAATCAAGATGAATATAGGTACGTATATTCAATCTTAATGAAAATTGAGAACATGAACAGGGACCAACAAAGTTTGACAAGGGAAGGTACYAAAGTTATAAATTGCTATTGAACATRGTTGTATTTTGSTATACGAACATCGCTTAMATTTTAATCACTGCTACTGTGTAMATAATCAGTGACAGAAATATTTACAGGATAACATGCCTAATTATAATTATTGTAAATAGWTTCTRTGGTACCTGCACTAAAACTTAACGTATTTCATATAAATATTGGCAGTAAGTAGAAGATCGACGAGACATACATTAAAAGCAGATATTGATATGCTAGTGGTGGGACGTGCCAAAATGGTTTCTGAAATATGGACAATGACTTCATATAGATAACGTTTGCCAAAAGTAACGGTTTTTATAAATGCCATGATATTCACAAAAAAAAAMAACCTAAAAATCGAGAAAAGCTGTAAAAAAAAACTAAAACATAAATATGAACACCGTAGTTATTCTCAGCCGATTACTAAAATTGAAGACAATAATTAAACATCTAAATCTAATAAAAATATTATAAGCAAAAGTTCAAAATCTCTGGACAAGTCTTGTTGTTGCAACAAAAATAAAACAGACATCTCCATTTGTATTATAACTTCGTATCTAACGATCGGATTTCTCTGATTGTTGCACCTGCTATGGACTAGCGTCCCGCATTGCTTAGCTCACGGCTAACTAKGTAATACATGTGTAAATACCACCTGGGTGGAACACCATACCAAGGGGATAATTGAATATAATTACAATAGTAGATTATGGGATGCATAGGAAGGTGAGGCAATACTTAATATTCGTAATTAAGCGATTTTTGGAAATATATAACATTATAAAAAAACTATAAACGTGTAAGCTAACGGATATAAATGAGATTATAGAAGGGCGTTGTGTATGCGGATCCACACACTGTTAATAGACAAGAGTTCCGGAAAACGATGGTCAGAGTATGAATATTTTGACATAATGATTCAAAAGTATTAATGTAACTATTAATAATGCAGCTGCACTGGATGCGCAATTTCCTCGAGCGTGGGGGGTAGTTGGTATTTCCATCCATAGTTGGTGGTTAACAGCATCTGTAGATATCGCATGGGCTATGAGGAATATAGGGTAGAAATATATAAGAGACTCCCGATACAACCTGTGTTCAGACGAGATTTGACCAAGAGCACCAGAGCACCTACACGCTAATTTATTTTCAGATTAATTAATTTGGACTTGAAATAATTCGTGCAGCATAATATTTGGACTTAAAAAATAAACGATTCAAATCAAATATTTCTAGAAACATGAAATATTTTCACTAATCGAATTATTTAAGTCTTCTGTTTTGAATGAACTAATTTTACGTTGCAATAAAATTGTGTTAATTAATAAAAGTACATCTATAATAACATAAGCAACTGTTCAAGTCATTGCAAGAGTCACTTGGTTCCTGACACTTTTATTTTTTATTTTTATTTTTTTTGTAATTTCCAGTCATACCTACGCATTTTTTAGGGTTCCCAAAAAATATATTGATAGTTATTAATAGGTACACTTCAAAATATAAATTTTGTATTATGAAAAGTCATCCTTGAAACTAAAGTTTAAAAGGATATCAGAAGAATATTTGGTTTCACCTTTCAACCCACGCGCAATAATTTGAGTTCAGTAAAACTAATCTTGTGTTCTTAATTTTAATATTTAAATGAATTGACCTAACCTACACCTATTAAAACTTTAAAGTTATAATATTACCTAGACCCTTGATTACCTCATTTCATTTTATTTATATTGATAATTAAAGTGAGCTATGATAATTTTTTAATATTTTACATACCTACTATGTGCATACATTATAACTCTCAAATTGCATTGAAAGGATGTTAGTTAGTTATTTACAATAATTGTGCTGTGCGCCAGTGCAGTAGCTTAGTATCTATAGAGTTGATGTTTATTGATCGAATCACTATATATTTACAATCATACGAGTATAATGTCTTAAGTGGAAAGTGCAATCGTATTGATTAAATGTTGTACAATTGATACCCATAATCGTTTAGAGGTATAGGTTGACACTCAGCCACAATTCCAGATAACCCCCCTCGTCGYCTCAAAAGACGTTGGTGTCGTGACCACCTAAACTGAAACACCACTCCATGTCCTAAAT